TGTTTGTGTGTTTTTTAAAAAGCTAAAGTAGATAGAGAAAAATACTGTTAACTTATGGTACATGGAGGGGATTATAATCAATGTAATGAAACAAGGTACATGATTTGTTGAATGTAAAACTGATGATATGCCCTGTAAACTTTCACTCAATCCACAATAAAAACCTTAAAAAACAAAAACAAACAAACAATCAAAAAATGAATCCATTTTGGTGGGGAAGATTGACTTTGACTCATACCTTACGCCATATGTAAAATTAATTCTAGATCACTGAAAAAGTTAAATATTAATATTATAGACTTCAATGACTAGCAATTATAGGATAGTATTAATGGTAGTTGGTATCATTTTGGAGAGGAGCAAACAAGTTCAGAGAGGCAAAATCATTGAGGAATTTCACACAGCAAGAAGGTTCTGTGTCAGGGTTCCAACTCAGTTCCATTCAGCTCCCAAGCTCACACTCTTAACAACTTCACCATGTTGTTTTAGGAATTTAACACAAGGTTCTAGAATGGAATTGTTGTTGTTGAGTGCCGTGGAGTCTGTTTCGACTCATAGTGACCCTGCGTAGGGTTTTCAGGGAGTGACTGGTGGATTTGAACTGACACCTTGGAGTCCAGTTAGAAATAATAGGAAAAATATCACAAAGGAAAAAAAATATATCTGTTATAAAATTCATCTTAAAAAAACATATCCCTTAAGAAGAGAGGGCATATGCACAAGAACACCCACACTTGCAGATAATACCCACTTGAGCTGGCTTCAATGACTGGATGATCAGAGCTCAACTAGAAGAAGAAAGAAGAAGAAAAAAAGAGTAATCTAATACAATCTGATGAACTTGACCTACACCTATGGATACAGTAGCTCAAAAGAGGGAACAAATCTTTATAGCGAGGATTATTCCCACCCCCTCCATATACAGAGTAGACAGGGATGGCAACTTAGACGTTGGCTACCCAAATGAGGCGGGGCTACGAAGGCACGAAGTGACTGGCTTACAAGCTCTCAAGAGGGAGCCTAGATCCAGATGTTGCAGGGGAAGTTAGAATCTCCACTGAGTAGTATCCAATCTGTCTAGGCGGGGCTGATGAAATGAAATGCGGATAGGTCTCTTGTGATAAAATAGTGAATAATTGTTATCAGGACTGCTTGTGAGGGTTGGAAATGTAAAGATAGACATTTTGTAGCAAAAGGAGGGGAGTGATTAACTTTTCAGTCTAGGAGCGGATGTCCCTGGGACCATCAAGGGAGAAGAGCGGAGAGCAGGACCCTGCCCAGAGAAGCAGTGATGCCTGAGATGGAGGCAGAGATGATGGCATGGAGAGATGGAGCAGCTGAGGACTTTAGACACAGAGAGGGAGAGGGGCTGTGTGCTGACAACTGGGGGCAGGGTTGGTTGAGGATGCATGGAGGGGATTGTAACCATGGCAATGAAATGATATATGATAGGATGAATGTAAAGCTAATGTTCTCCCATGTAAACTATCACATGACTCACAATAAAACATTAAAAA